AGAGTCAGTCATCGACCTAGCAACATGCGACTTGTTGCAAATTAAAAGATGTTGAGGTCCATTCACCATTTTTCTGCGACAACCCATCCTAGTTTGTAAACGGTAGAGGGGGTTGGATCGACCCCCCCCCCCCCCCCCTGATCCCCATCGCGTTCCCCTCCTCAGTCTTCACTATGACAAAGCGGCGAATCAGGGCGAGGCTCCGCAGCCGGGCGTCGGCCTTTCTAACCTCTGCCTTTCTCAAGGTCGAGCGGGCGCCCACCCTGGTGCTGGACGGCCGCTTCTGTGTCAGACACGCGTTGTCTCTTGTTCCGCAATCACTCCAGTGCGGAAAGCATGGCCACCCTAGTGCTGGGCTGCTCTTGTGCCCGCACGCGGTCTTTCCTGTGCCGGACGGCCGCTCCTGTACCGGACACCCGGCCGCTCCTGTGCTGGACACTCGGCCGCTCCTGTACCGGACACTCGGCCGCTCCTGTACCGGACACTCGGCCGCTCTTGCACCGGACACCCGGCCGCTCCTGTGCTGGACACTCGGCCGCTCCTGTACCAGACACTCGGCCGCTCCTGTACTGGACACCCGGCCGCTCCTGTACCGGACACTCGGCCGCTCCTGTACCGGACACTCGGCCGCTCCTGTACCGGACACTCGGCCGCTCTTGCACCGGACACTCGGCCGCTCCTGTGCTGGACACTCGGCCGCTCCTGTACCGGACACCCGGCCGCTCCTGTGCTGGACACTCGGTCGCTCCTGTACCGGACACCCCGGCCGCTCCTGGCTGGACACCCGGCCGTTCCTGTACCGGACACTCGGGGCCGCTCCTGTACCGGACACTCGGCCGCTCTTGCACCGGACACTCGGCCGCTCCTGTGCTGGACACTCGGCCCGCTCCTGTACCGGACACCCGGCCGACTCCTGTGCTGGACACCTCGGCCGCTCCTGTACCGGACACCCGGCCGCTCCTGTGCTGGACACTCGGCCGCTCCTGTACCGGACACCCGGCCGCTCCTGTGCTGGACACTCGGTCGCTCCTGTACCGGACACCCGGCCGCTCCTGTGCTGGACACTCGGTCGCTCCTGTACCGGACACCCGGCCGCTCCTGTGCTGGACACTCGGCCGCTCCTGTACCGGACAACCCGGCCGCTCCTGTGCTGGACACTCGGCCGCTCCTGTACCGGGCACCCGGCCCGCTCCTGTGCTGGACACTCGGCCGCTCCTGTGCTGGACACCCGGCCGCTCCTACGCCAGTGCCCTGTGCCCTGTGCCAGTACATCCGACAGTCCCAGCGTTTGAAATAGCGACGACGTTCTTCGCGCGCCGCGCTGCCGGTCCGGGTGCGTTGCCCTGAAGCTTCCTGCCTCACCGCGCTGTGTCTCGTCCCCGCGTGTATGCCAGTGACACTGTCTGTGTCTCGTCCCGCGTGTCTGCCAGTGACGCTGTCTGTGTCTCGTCCCGCGTGTCTGCCAGTGACACTGTCTGTGTCTCGTCCCGCGTGTCTGCCAGTGACAATGTCTGTGTCTCGTCCCGCGCTGTATGCCAGTGACACTGTCCTGTGTCTCGTCCCGCGTGTCTGCCAGTGACACTGTCTGTGTCCTCGTCTCGCGTTTATGCCAGTGACACGTCTGTGTCTCGTCCCGCGTGTATGCCAGTGACACTGTCTGTGTCTCGTCCCGCCGTGTCTGCCAGTGACACTGTCTGTGTCTCGTCCCGCGTGTATGCCAGTGACACTGTCTGTGTCTCGTCCCGCGTGTCTGCCAGTGACACTGTCTGTGTCTCGTCCCGCGTGTATGCCAGTGACACTGTCTGTGTCTCGTCTCGCGTGTATGCCAGTGACACTGTCTGTTGTCTCGTCTCGCGTGTATGCCAGTGACACTGTCTGTGGTCTCGTCCCGCGTGGTATGCCAGTGACACTGTCTGTGTCTCGTCCCGCGTGTATGCCAGTGACACTGTCTGTGCAGGGGAGTGATCACCTGCGTGACGAACTGTCACGTGAATTCCGTGCTAGTCCGACGACGAAAGTGTCTACTCGACGGAACTGTCTACTCGACAAAACAGTCGGCTCGACGAAACAGTTTGCCTCCGCCGCGGCAAAGATGTACGGTGATCTTGCCAGCCATGTGGTGCTGCTGGTGTTGCGTTCCTGCTCGTAACGTCTGCGAGGGCCAGCATCACAGCCAACCTCCCCGACCCGGGCCAGCATCACAGCCACCTCCCCGACCCGGGCCAGCATCACAGCCACCTTCCCGACCCGGGCCAGCATCACAGCCACCTCCCCGACCCGGGCCAGCATCACGGCCACCTTCCCGACCCGGGCCAGCATCACAGCCACCTTCCCGACCCGGGCCAGCATCACAGCCACCTTCCCGACCCGGGCCAGCATCACAGCCACCTCCCCGACCCGGGCCAGCATCATAGCCACCTTCCCGACCAGGGCCGGCATCAAAGCCACCTTCCCGACCCGGGCCAGCATCACAGCCACCTTCCCGACCCGGGCCAGCATCACAGCCACCCTCCCCGACCCGGGCCAGCAACACAGCCACCTTCCCGACCCGGGCCAGCATCACAGCCACCTCCCCGACCCGGGCCAGCATCATAGCCATCTTCCCGACCCGGGGCCACACCATCGTCAGCGACGTTGTCCTGCAGCGAACCTCCAGCTCGTCGGCCCTGTCGACATGCTGGTCCATCTCCAGCTCATCGGCCCTGTCGACATGCTGGCCCATCTCCAGCTCATCGGCCCTGTCGACATGCTGGCCCATCTCCAGCTCATCGGTCTCGAGGCGACCTCGTCCCGCACCTCGGCCGCGATGACCTTGATCACAACCATGCCTTGTGGTCGCTCGCGCTGCTCAGCGAGGCAGGCGCGGTGCCGGCACCAGGCGCCGGGGCTGCAGGGGCGGCCAGGCGTGACAGCGCTCTTCTCCGGACGGTCGTCGTCAGAACCTACTGGCGGGACTGATCAACATCCAGTCCCTGCTGCCGATGATAAATCCACTGCAGCATAACCATCCAGACTGGATGCCTCACGACTTTTGCGTGATCACCGAGACGTGGCTTCGATCCGCCATTGCGTCCGGGCTGGCCACAGTCCCCGGCTAGGCGCTGCACCGTGCAGACCGGCCAGGAGAGGTCGGCTGTCGGGGTGTGGCGATCTTGAGCCGGGACTGCTACCAAGTCATTGCCGTCACCCAGGCGGCATCTGAGTGTCCGGACTGTCGGCTGGAGTCCCTCTCACTGCGAGTGACATCGGAGTCCGGCCTGCATTTCACTGTGGCTGCCGTCTATCAGCCCCAGTGCCGCGCCGTGGCTGCCCTCCAGGCGGACTTCAGCGAACTGGAGCTGCAATATTAGCGAGTGCGCCTACGGCACCCCGGACCGATCGTCATCATGGGTGATTTGAATTGTAATTTACTCGACCCCGCTAGTGACGTTGCATAAGACCCAACCGGTCCTTTGCAACGCAATAAAATACCGTCCCGCGGTATGTGCGTGTTACACCAGGGCCGCGTTCCTCACCGGCAAAGTATTTTCTTGAGTTACTACCTACGACATCACAAGTACCCACGCCATACATGAGCGACTATCCTCCAAGCCGCAGGAGCTGTTGTGACGCGCGTACCTCTGATGTCATAGGCTGCAACTTGTTGACAACTGTCGGTGATGGGGAACGCGGCCCAGGCCTTGTCTAGTATGCAGCAGGAATCGCGCAGATTTACCTTCGTGCTTAAGGTCCTATGTGGTACAATACTTTTTTAGTCGGCTTGTGTTGGATGCAGGCCCCGCCCACATGTGATGATATCGAAGATAGGCGTAGCGCTGCTCGCCGCTGGTGCTTTTTTATGTCTTTACTGTTCAGATAACTTTAGGATTCATGATCCATAAAACGCCGTGACTACCACGTAGGTAGCCATAAATCGTCTGTAAGCGGCTAACCTACTAAAGCGGTAAACCTAAAGCGGTAAACCCGAGGTGGCTCCCCTCGGGTGAATGGCGAAGCAAGAGGGACGACCCTCGCTGAAAGGACAACATCAGAGGTGTCTCTCGTCCTCGAGTGAAAAAATGTCGGTGCTGGTTGCTGAAGACGCCGCAGGTCACAACAGAACTCTTGCAGTTATTCAATGACACCTCCTGTGTCGATTTCACGGATATCTCGGACTCGAGAACAGAAACGTCCGTCAACTTTCAAGAGCGCTTAAACAGCAACCTCAGGAGTTGCCAGTCTGAGAGGAGGAGATTCGAGCTGCAGTTAGTCAGAAAATGGCAGGCATCGACGCGATTCCAGCTGAAATCAGGCTGCGGAATCGCTCAACCGCAAACGAGCCGTGCGTCTTGCCAGGCGAGCAAGTCTCTCTGTTGTCTTGGTATGTCTTACGAGTCTCTCTGTTGTCTTAGTATGTCTCGCGAGTCTCTCTGTTGTCTTGGTATGTCTTGCGAGTCTTCAGAACCACCCGAAACGTATTCGGAACCTCTTCTCCAGATTGCGCACGCATTGCACATAAGTTTGTCTGACGGTGCACTGGCAGGAGCCCCCAAAGTCATGCCACAAGAGCCGACAACACAACGGCGTGCGGCCGTCCGCAGTGGTGGCGATGAAGACCACGCGGAAGACCACGCGGATACACTCAACGCTGGTGCAGAGTTGCGTGACGAACCACCCATGAAGACCCTCCTACGGGAAGATCATGAACCAATCGCAAACAAGGCGGCGTTGAACAGATTCCCGTCACCGGACGGGGCAGAGTAAGCAGGGAGGTGGGCACCGTGGCTCGCCAATGGACCACGGTACCCCTGGGCGATCGTTCCACAGATGGGTGTCATCCGAGATGCTGTGCCAAGAGGCCCCGTGCTCGACTACCAAATTCTCGTTGCAGCCGTTCCGCAGTGGGCTCCTAGAATCCGCCGTGGGATTTTCGCAGCCGAGTACGCAGGGTCGGCCGTTGTCTTGTAGCGTGCACGTGCCGGTGCAAATGGAGTCCGTGCAACCGGCTCCAGACCGGTTCACCTGCATATAAAAGCGACGCACTCCGTAAGAGGACCAGCAGTCGCAGCAGTGCAATCACGCAGACAGGTAAGGTACTCAGCCCAGGCCGACTTCGCTACCGGTGCGGTGGGAAGGTCTGGAAATGCGGTGTTTTGTGGAGTCATCATCATTGATGCCACCGGGCTTGCTGAGCAGGTGGCTCGAAAATCGGGGTATGCTGTCAAACGAGCAGCAACTGATTATTTGAGTGTGATATTGAGATCTCGACGCAGCGTGCTACCTGACTGATGCTGAAAACGTGGCAGAAAAACCCCAAGGTCCTAGAACCCCAAAACGTAACTAGTTTCCAACAGCAAAATTACACATCAAACTGTTATTTGATAGAGGTGTAGGGAAGAGGGAAAAACTGTGTGAAATGACTTAGTAGTATGGGCCACAGTTGACTGCATTTATTACAAATATACATTCTACTGTTCTAAGCTATAAAAAACAGGTCCTCCAAAGAATTTTCCTGTTGCGTGCCTGTGCTGGGGTACAAAAGCATTCCAATAGTAATAAGTGAGCTTTTATCCTATGTGATGCGTGCTTCATATCTTCAAATGTGGGTTTCATAAAAGTGGGTGCAGTGCACTCGTAGCTCGCCCCACAGCAACTAGTCACGGATGAGCGTGTGTTTTGTCCGCCTTACCTCACTTCATGCAGAGCCCGCGAGTTAAGCGGTCGTCAACGGGCATGTGGAAACACTAGCATCGTTTCAGGCTAGTAGTAGTTTGCTCATGGTTTGACCAGTGCTGTGTGTTGCAGCAGCTATGAAGGTCGTCGCTCTCCTGCTTGTGGTCTGCGCCTCCGTGGCCTGGGCGAAGCCTTTGTGCTTCCACGGCATCTGCATTCCTGACAGTCAAGCCACTGGGGGTGCTTCGGGCACCGTCACCAGTGGCGTCAGCAATACATCTGGTGGCTCCAGCAGGATTACGTCAGTCGGCTCCTCTGCAGGGGTAAGCACGCGGAAAGACGGGAGCCGTTGAATGAGCGCGTTTGAAAAAGATGGACTGGATTGATTTAAGTTCGCGTGTTTCGATAAACGGAACAGAAGCACGCCCTAATTTATGTGTCATGCTAGCTCACATGTTATGCATTCTGGTAGGCTGAAGGCGTCACTATCACGCTGGACGGGATTACTTCACAAACTCGAGTCAGAACTGTGCAAAGTAAAAAATGTGTTGGAAATTGAGTTAGACTGAATCAAACTGCGTATTTGGGCCGCGACCTCTCCCTCGCTGGCTCGGATGGTTCAGCACGATTAATAACTGCCAGCTTGGACCACCGCCCGGTGCATTTCTTCTGCACTTCGCATAGCGAGGCATGGCATGAAATGCATAGTGACCAATGCATGCCAAGTGAGGTGCTCTGTTTTTAATCTCATTTCTTTTGCAGGGAACGGCCAGAGGACCGTGTGCAAGCAGCTTCAACAGTGGAAAAGCCACCAGCTTTAGCTCACAGACTATTTTGGGCAATACGGATGCAAGCGACACCAATGCCGTCTCAATCCAACAAACCGGCTGCTGAATGACCCAGTCACAGTCATCTCGGCATGTGTCGCAATGGCGCACCATGTGAAACGCTTGCTCCGTCGACAGACGTTGCGACATCGGGCGTCAGTTGTGACATGTGATCGAAATGTGCAATACAGGCTTACCCCGCCATGATTGAACTCTAATTTGTTGGCGCTGCCAGTGTCAGTTGATGTTTCTCCGTGGGAGAGGCGCCACAAATTTCGTGCCAACTCCGATAGTCATATCTTGGAGACGCATCTCCATGATATATTCAAACCAGTGAAACTAAAAAACAGCTCGGATTATGCTTCTTGTTACTGTTGGCGAGGAACACTGAAATAAACACGACCTTTTCGATACTGGATCAGAGTAGCCGGGAACGTTCGACTTGAAGGAGCTAACCATATATATATATATATATATATATATATATATATATATATATATATTATATATTATATATATATCTATATATCTATATATCTATCTCTCTCTCTCTATATATCTCTCTCTCTCTCTCTCTCTCCTCTCTCCCTCTTCTCTCTCTCTCTCTCTCTTCTCTCTCTCTCTCTCATCTCCCTCTTCCTTCTCTC